CATAACTAAGGGAACGCCTGTGTAGGTTTTATGCGTGGGAGTTCCAAGGTAAAGTTTCGGGTTTGTTACCGAACCGATGGAGGGATTCATCATCTCAAATGATGGTTTAGGGTTTAGGGTTTAGCTTTTGAAACAGGCCACCAAGCCACCAGCCTTTGCATTTCATCTGTTGTTATCCGTAAGTTCTCAGACGCGTATACTAGATAGACGCCAAGTTCGGAAAACCCTAATGCCACGAAGACACGCCCTAAAATCTGGAACCCGGTCTCATGACCTATGCCGACATTGGACTCTGAATGCAGGACAGAGCCGCGATAGAACGGCTGCGAATGCCGCAAGAAGGCCTCTGTGGTTAAAGAGTGCGGGTCTGCTACCTATAGACTATAGAAAAGCTGTACGTGAACACTCCACCTCAAATAAGATACCATGTGCCGGCAACACTTATAAGTGGGGTTACAAGTAGGGTAACTATAGTTATAACCCACCTTAGGGGACTCATAACCCCGCTTATAACTACCCGTGAACCTCCAAGCACTACCTATTAGACTGATTGCAAGAAACTAAGGGACCCAAAAAGGACTTAAGCATAAGCAATTTATAGGGATATCCCTCCTACTTATTGGGCTTCATCATAAGGGGATTTATATGGGATATCCCTATCCTAAGTTTTGCTTATGTGCTTTTTTGGGGCCCTAGAAACCTCCTGCAGGTTCTTCGCAAGGGTCATGGCAATGTTTAGGATCAAGACAAAATGCCCTTAACAAACCAGATGACAGCTCCTACCTGTAGAGCGAGCGCAATCCATGATTTCTGAGTACCACAGAGCCCTTGATCATTCGACTGGGGTTTAGGTGTAATCAAGATATTTCACTGTTATGCCATATAGCTTAGTTTATATAGGGATTACGATAATTCACATCCCTGTGTTAGTATATATAGGAATTTCGATAATTCAGACCCCTATCTTATTGGAGCCCTACCAACCCCACAACCCTGAATGTCCCTAACATCCTAAATCCCACGAGTTTTGCCAAGGAGAGCCGCCGAAGTCACTTATATTCGCCCGACCGTCTGGTGAACCCTAAACCCTAAACCCCAGCGCCTACTATAGGGGCCTCGATAATTGCCTATACTATTTTGGGGGTTCCTTATTATACTTATGATATAATGGGCCCCAAAACCCTATTCTAGTATTAAGGTGCCTATGTTGGAAACCAGGGCACCTCAAGCTGGCAGTGTATCCGTGATTTACGTCTCTCAGACTAGTATCGGGCTTGTCGCGGGCACACCTACCAAATCGACACCGTGTCTGGCACGTTCCGTAGCAACCCCTAAACCCGAAACTCTAAGCCCTAAACCCTAAACCCTAAACCCTAACTAAGCACCCTTTGAAACCCCCTCTGCGGCGAGGCCGGTCGCGACATGCCACGAAACCCTAAACCCGACTCCTGCTCCCAAGACCGCCAGGCGCCGTGCATGAAGCGACGCAAGCCTCACGCATCCAGTCGTGGAGCATGGTGGATTGAGTGGAAAACGCGTTTAGGGTTTAGGGATTTTGTTTTATGGTGGACTGAGTGGAAATAGTTCATCCTAGACCCCAAATGAACATATAATTATAGCCTTTCATATAAAGGCATTGCGCCATTATTTTACATACTTTTGGGGGTTTAGGATTGCGCCGTCTAGTTCGGAGTCGTTGAACCCACCCAGAAGTTCACCCTGGGCCCTTGCATTCTTAGAAGATACTCAGAGTTTGGAGATGGGTACTATAGGGGCCTTAATATTAACCTACATTGTTCCTTATTAGAACTATAGTATAATGGGCCCCAAAACCCTATGCTCATTATTAAGGCCCCTACATTACGTAGTCTGCCAAATAGAGGGCCAAGCCTTTGGCTCTCGGTAGTTACGCTTCTTGGGTGGATTGCCAACATGACACCAGCGTTCTTCTCAAGACTTTTTTCCGTCAGTCACGGTCCCTAAACCCTAAACCCTAAACCCTAAACCCTAAACCCTAAACCCTAAACCCTACCCGGAGCATGGAAACCTGCATCCTCCTCTCGGGAAGCCCTCATCTGCAGACCCCCAGCAACTGCGACCATACCCGACACTTCAGGGTTTAGGGTTTAGGGTTTAGGGTTTAGGGGAAGCTCCAGAGCACCAAACTCTCTAAGCTCCAGAGCCCCAAAACCCTGAGGGTCATACGTACCTGTGTGGGGGGGGGGGGGATACTTAGGGTTTAGGGCTTAGAGTTTAGAATGTAGGACTTATCCAAAACCCAGAATATGCTGCCCGGCTTCCCGTTGGGCGAGTACACAGGAGGGTCATGGTGGGCCTTGGACCCTCAAGTGCCGCAAGAGGCCCACAAAGGTCAAGGTAACCGAAAATCTTCGGGGCTACCCGTTCTAGTAATTCCTAGAATACCCATAGGCTCCATAGTAGTTCCTTTTTTGTGGTTTATATTTAGGAGCCGATAAGGTAACCCCAAAAAGAAACTAGTACGCAGCCTATATGGGTAGTTCCTTCATTATACCTTTGCTAACCCCTTCATTATACCTTAGCTGCTTAGCTAATTACTCAGGACCTTTGGGCAAACCCCGAAAACCTCCTTCTGCCGCCATGGCTCCGCCCCCGTCTGCACGTGAGCTCCTGAGCCGTGTGGAGAGTGCTGTGGGCGCAGACCGCGCCGGGGTACTCCAGAGCCTCAGGACGTCACGGGGGCTGATCGAAAGTGTTCCTGTTTCACTTTGTAACAGTAGAGGCCAGAAAGTTGGAACATGAATATCCTCATGCCCTCAAGGTGAAGTAGAAGGGGTCCTAGCACTAATTCTCCTAAACGTATGTTCCAACTTTCTGGGATTCGCCGTAAATGCAAGTGCCTACATGGTATATATTAGGGTTTCTATATGCTTTGGGTAAGTATGCCCCATATAGGTACTGAGAATCTTTGGGGTTTCGAAGGGTTCCTTGACCACTATGTATTCTGAGTGATTGTTCCCTATCGCTATCATGCGTAGTATTTCTTAGGTACCGATTTGGGACCGTTGTTAAAACTACTCTACTGTCTAACATAAATCCGAACCCCAAGTATACATAACATATTTGTTGGGGACCATTGAAATCGACACCTGGTTTCAAGGTTGCTGTGAGGGTTCTGTAAAGCCGTTTGATCGGGGTTCTTCAAAAGGTGTTGAGGTTGCGGTTTAGGGCTTCAGAGTTTACGGCTTAAGGCTCAGCGTAGGGCTTTAGTTCAGTTATAGTTAGACCCTATCTTAATTGGGTGTACACAGTATATAGATCTTTTCTTGGTATGTATAGTAACCCTAAACCCCTAAATCCTAAACCCCTAAGCCCCTAAGCCC